CCGAAGTCAGACACTTAACCGACTGAGTCACCCAGGTGCCCCGAAACTCTGTAATTTTACTTTTTTCTTTCATTTTTTTAATGTTTATTTATTTTTGAAAGAGAGACAGAGTGCGAGTGGGATAGGGCAGAGAGAGAGAGAGGGAGACACAGAATCCGAAGCAGGCTCCAGGCTCCGAGCTGTCAGCACAGAGCCTGAGATCATAGAGCCGATGTCAGACGCTTAACCCTTGACCAACTGAGCCACCCAGGTGCCCCAAATTCTGTAATCTTCGAACAGTGACTCCAGTGATGGTGAGTAATATGTGTCAACTTGTCTGGGCCACAGGGTACCAAGATATCTGGTCAAACATTTTTCTGAGCTTCCCTGAGAATGTTTTTGGATGAGATTCCCATCTTAGTCAGTGGGGTAAAGATTTCCCTCCATAATGCGCATGGCCTCGTTCGATTTGTTGAAGGCCTGCATAGAACAAAGACAGTAATCTTCCTCCAAATAAGAAAATATTCTCCAGCAGCCAGCCTTTGGGTTGGAACTTCACCTTGGCTCTCTTGGGTCTCAAGCCTGCTGCTCCACATTACAGATTTGGGCTTGCCGGTCTCCATAATTGCATGAGTCAGTTTCTTACCATACATCTTTCTCTATAAATATGCACCCTCTTATTGGTCCTGTTTCTCTAGAGAACCGTAACTAACATAACTCCTCATTTCTTCCTTCTCCCCGTTCCTGGAAGCCACCATTCTATTTTCTCTTTCTATGAACTTGACTACTCCAGGTACCTCATATAAGTGGAAACATACAATATCTGTCCTTTTGTGTCTGGCTTATTTCACTTAGATTAGGGCTTCACGATCTGTCTGTGCTGTAGCACGTCTCAGAAGTTTCTTTTTATTTTTTCTAATGTTTATTTGTTTTTGAGAGACAGAGACACAGAGCACCAGCAGAGGAGGGCCAGAGAGAGAGGGAGACACAGAATCCGAAGCAGGCTCCAGGCTCTGAGCTGTCAGCACAGAGCCCGACGTGGGGCTGGAACCCACGAGCTGTGAGTTCATGACCTGAGCCGAAGTTGGATGCTTTACCGACCGAGCAACCCAGGCACCCCATGAATTTTCTTTAAGGCTGAATAATATCCCATTGTATGTATATACCACATTTTGTTTATCCGTTCATCCATTGATGGACGTTAGGGTTTCAAAACCTGTGGGATAATTTCTACAATCCTTTTGTGGCAGATAGCTGGACGAAATTCACAGACTTTAACTAGTTCTCACTTCCTGCCCCCTGATGTTGTTCATGCCCTTGTGTAATCTTCTCCCCTTCAGTGTGGGTGGTATCCATGGTTTGGATGTGCCAAAGTGATAGAATGTATATGATGATGTATTTGTGATTACATAAGTTATGGTGTTTATTTTGCTAAAGTTTCTCTCCCTCCTCTTGGCCAGATTTAAAGAAGCAAGCTTACAGAAATCCTATAACCACAAAGAAATGAATTCCTGGGGTGCCTGGGTGGCTCAGTCAGTTAAGCATCTACTCTTGAT